TAGTTCTAATTAAATGTACTATTTCATCTAATATTTGTGTAAAGTATCAAGTTGTTAGCTTAGCCACATGCTAACTTCAAAGTATAATGGAATCAAGTTCTAATTTGGAAAAGTGCAACAGAACGCCATTTGAAATTGTACTCCAACTCAGAAATTGTCAAACTTCGTGGAAATGCGAGGGTAGGATGTTACGAGGGCATATCAGCACGGTTAATGATAAACATAGATAAAGAAGTAAATTAAATGCATCAGTGACTCAAAGTTCCAACATCACATGATAATAAAGCAGGTTAAACAAATGTTTGCAGAGACAGGAGTGTAAACCATGGTAAACTATCCTCTCTATTGATAACTGGACATATTCAAAACAAATGTTAGCATTTTGCGAGCCATTTGTGTCTGTATACATCGTCCAAGCATCGGGATGCTACATTGGACTCATGAAATGGAGTTTTTGATAATGTACAGCCTTTCAATTCAGTCACTTATGATGCAGTCTTAGAAGGTAGCTGCCCATCTAGACAGCAGACAGTAAGGCAGCTCATTAGGGTTTGGAACAGAGCCCATGTTTCAGAATCAGTGGAGGAACTCCAGCTATTGTCTGTCTATTGGTTTATGACAGTTGTTTCTAGCACAAGTCTCGTTTCATTCGAGTCAGAGAAAGCACATATTGTTGTCCTCACCATGGAGGCAGGGTTCCATGTTGTGGTCGGAGCCATCTTTGGTTGCCAGTTGGTTCCTCCAGTCAGCTTCTTTTCACCGGGTTGACTCCAATGAATGTCACTGAGGAGGAACAGAAGAAACAACCATGATCAAGTCACTGAGTTTGAAGAGAACTATGAATTTGGATTGAGATGAGCGGCGAATGTTCATACTTCTTTGGTGTTCCATTTCCAATACCAAGATCTGGAAGAAAGAGAAAACCAGTGAGGACTATGCCAGCCATTGTGAAATGCTAAATTCACTTTTATAGGATCCTAAATCAATAAATAAAACTACATGTCCTGTTCCTGATTATTAGTACCAGAATACAGAGTAGGGCTGCACAATTTGAAAAAAAAAAAAAAAAAAAAAAGTCTGATTGTGATTAAAAAAAAAAAAAGGCTCAAGGTTTGTTATGCTTGTTTGCAGGGCTGCACAATCTGGCCAAACATTTTGTGAATATATCAATATACTGAATGTAATATATTAATTTTTATGTTACAGTGAAATATTAAAATAGTAATATTTCTTTAATATATTAGTATTTAATACGAGCAACAATATAAATTATTATTATTTGTAGTAGCAGAAGTAATAGTATTAGGTTTATTGTTGTTATTATTATTACTAAATACAATTATTAAATATATATTACTAAAGCAGCCAGTTTATAATCACTTCTTATTACAAATTTGTTAAAATGGTTAACAAATGTTGAATTCTCAAATGCATTTCATAAGCAACCTATATTCATAGCACATGAAGAGATGAGTTTGTGTGTTAGTGAATATATTCATTTAATTAAATCACAGCCTTTGTGATTCAATAATCACACTAAGCCATTTCACAACTTTTCAATTAATAGTGTAGCCCTAATACAGAAGGTTGTTTGTATGATATAACAATTACAGGACACTTACTTCCCACAAGGTTGGCAAGGGAGGAATCCAAGTCATCGGAAACCAGTTTGCCTGGCTGTTGGGTGCTGGGCGTCAGGCCCTGGTTGGGAGAGGCCACTGTGGGTTTCAGGATGCCACCTAAAATATCATCTTAAACAAACAGAGGAGAGGGAATGGGAGAGGGATAAAAGACGCGGACAACACACACAAACAGAAAAAGCGCAATTAGGTTGGGTGGAGCGAGAGGCAGCCGCCCTCGATGCAAACGTTGCAGGACCGAAAGTGAAAGATCGTGGGTAAAATCTTGTGAAGTCAACTCACCCAGACATGCAGTGCCATGCAAAGCCAGTGGCCCAAATAGATCAAAACACAGTGAGAGGAGAGAAAGAGAACAGAATGAGGAACATCTTAAAACACGACTGCGCAACTTATGGTGGTCTTATCTTACATGAAACGGGCTCACATTAAAAAATGCTTACAAATTCAAGTCAACTTCTGTTTTGTACTACTATATTTACATGGAAAAACATATTTTAACAACAACAACAAAAAGTTTAATGACGTTTTAGAGACGTTTTATTTTTTTTTCCATTGGAATAACATGCATAATGAGACCAAGAATACGTAGTGGGACAGTGAAATTTCAATTTAGCATTAATTTCTTTAATTGTGTCGAAAGCTGGATCCAAACCTGGGTCGTCCATGGCTCAATGTTTTAGAGCGCTAACCCTTATGTCACATCTCCAACATAAGACACACTGATTTCAAACCAATCATGGGTTTAAATTAGATCCAATGAAACCAAGACTCAAGCAAATTAATGCTTCAAGGTTTAATGAGAAACCTGAGGTGTGATTTGTGTGTTCAAAAAGCAAGTTCTAAACATGCAGTATTGAGAACACGACACAAAAGAGATCATGATCTCTTTTCTTATAAAAATACCACAGCAAACTTCTACAAGAACGAAAAGTGGTTGTATATCCATTTTCACATGCTAGTTTCACTGTGTCAGCTTAAGCATGGTCCGATGAACGACTCCCCAAAACACATTCACCTTCAGCAGTGAGATGGATGTGAAGCATCGTGTGTGGAGAAAAGCAGTGAGTGAGTTACAGCAACTGGGTTAACTTCTCTCTTACCAGCAGAGTCTGTGCTGTTGGCGGCCGACTTATTGCCGAATACGGAGTCAAAGTCGACATTAAGGCCTGTTGAACTGGGAGGCTGGGCGGCGGGAGGTGCAGAGAACCCTGTGTTAAAGAAAATAAGGTCAGACCTAAAAAAAAAAAAACCACAGACTGGTTGACCTACACATGTTTGAGGAATGCCAGAGAACAGCAATTTCAAAACAGTGGTTAATGTTTTCTTCCAGTTCACGTGTGATGCATAATTGCCATCATTAATTTAAATAGATCAATTCTGCTGTAGTCGACAGACTTCCAAAAATGTCAGCTGTTTGACTGGGGTAGCCCACGGCAACTGACTCATACTTCCCACATGGGTTTGTAGTCACAAAAGCAGCCATGTAAGTTCAACCAACAACCACATCTGCTATATCATGCCGACTTATCCTGTCAGATAAAAAAGTTTTTCTTTCATTCCACTTCTTTACTATACCAGTAAAGTTTCATCTAGTAACCTAGTATGAGCCATTTGAGGTAAAGTAACTACAAATAAAAAATAGGGATTTATATTATTCTTATTTTCATGTTTATTATGCAAGTTAAAAACATAATCAAACAAGTTGCATATGTAAATCTAGTATACATATGCTGACTGATTAAATTAAATTTGGCATATTAATATATCCATGAAGGAGTATTGTTATTGCTAACTAAAACTATTACAAATTATTTTTGTTAATTGAAATAAAACAAATAAAATATAAATACGGTGACAAACTTAAACTTAGAAATAAACCCTGGCAACTAACTAAAATTTAGTTGAAATAAAGTTCTAAAACTCATTAAAACAAAATAAAAATGAATTAGTTAAATATCAATAAAAAAATGTTTTTTAAAAAAGGACAAAAGCACATAAAATTCCTAAAACAGTAAAATTCGAATGAAGACTGAAAATATAAATAATACAAAAAAAAATTTAATATATGTGGAATTTACATTAGCCTTTCATAATTAATTGTGCTAAAGTAAATTATTAAATTGACAACACTATTTTAAAAGAAAATTAACAATGAAAGCTGAAAACGCAGGTTTCAAACTTAAAGGGGGTCATATGATGCGATTTCAATTTTCCTTTCTCTTTGAAGTGTTACAAGCTCTTGGTGCATAAAGAAGATCTGTAAAGTTGCAAAGACTAAAGTCTCAAATCCAAAGAGATATTCTTTATAAAAGTTAAGAGTCAACCACGCCTACCTAAAATGGCTCGTTCTAACACGCCCCCACATACCTACGTCACAATGTGGGAAGATTTGCATAACGCCGCCCAAATGTTCACACAAAGAAAGAAGGCGTAACTTTGATTCTCGCTGTAGTATTGTTGCCGCCACCGCCATGTCGTGAAGATTCTGTGTGTTTCATTGTGAAAGCGACACTACTTTGTTTGGCCTTCCAAAAGAGGACGATATCCGCTCATCACAGTATGGTAGGGGCGTAACATTTTCGTCACACGCTTGAGGTATTCGGCCAAATTCGCTGGATAGCTGGCCAATCAGAGCACACCTCGCTTTTTCAGACCGATGAGCTTTGTAAAAATCGGCGCGTTTCAGAAAGGCGGGGGCATAGAGGAGAAACAATAATGTACAGTATGCGGAAAATAATGTTTTTTTTTTTACCTTAAACCGCATAAACACATTTCATTATACCAAATACACAAAATAATGGTCTTTTTAGCAACATCATATGACCCCTTTAAACTGTGAGCCAAATGTCTGAATTGACTTATTTGATAAACCTGTTCCTACCAGCCCAACAAAAGCGCACCTGCGAAAGGAAAGAAAGGGGAAGACAGCTGAAGGACACACAAAGAAAGAGAGACAAGCTGGAGGGACGGCACCTACCTCCGAATAGTCCAGCTACAGCAGAGGGCTCAGAGTGGAAGAGAGGAGTGTTAAGGTAGGCAGCCGGAGAGCAGAATGAGTCTGACAGGCCAAGAAACAAAAGCACAGGAAACCAGAAACGAGAAAATTAGTGAAGAGAGACAAAATTAATACAAATAATATTAGGGGGGAAAAGATATAAAGACTGCATACTCTATGTTCAAGTAAGTCAAGAGGGTGGAATTAAAACGAATAAAGGTACTAAGAGTAATTTGGGGTAAAAGAGCACGTGAAATCACGGGTTAACGCCATTATGTTTCCTGAGGTCAGAAAACATACATCGCACTGGGACGTCTGTACCTGAGAGGAAGCAGCCCATCCGAGCAGAGGGCTCGATAGGTGATGCAACAGAACCGCTCGAATCAATAAAGGGATTGTAATTATCTGGAGAACCAAGAAATGAAATTGACATTTGGGAAAACTTTAAAACTTAACACTCTAAGGAAGGGAAAACTAAAAAAAAGGGTAAAAGCAAAATCCAAGAAAGGCAGCAAAGCACAACCAAGCAAATTTTTGGGTAAGGTGGTCCAGAGACCATCGTACAGACCTTCAGAAAATCACCAAGAAGCAATTAACTGAGGTTTAGTGTGGGTAAAAAGGACCACCAAACTCAAATAGGGTACATGTATTTTTAAGCAGTTAATTTGTACTTGATAACAGCCATTCTCACTCTTGATCACACTCATGTATTGATATTAGGCCAGCATTACTCCATCATAAAAGCCAACTAACCATAATACAGCTGTACAAACACAAACACTCTTTACAGTAGCAACAAACCATCTGTCCGTCACTCTCTCAAATATGTTATTGTTCACTCTGAGAACATAATAAATACAGTCCCTAGTGTAGAACAAACTCACAGAAGCTAGACTTCCTTTATTGCATTAACACAAACACACACAGTGTTTCAAAACCTAGGCTTTGTGTTCAGAATAGCATACTACCATACTTTTTACATTTATATTGCACAGTATGACAATTTCGAGGATCACTGTACCCCACAATGCAGTGTGCTCAACCTGACCTTGTGTTTCCAATGAGACAAAAGAACAGGAAGTAACAATTTTTGATGAAACTGCCACAATTTTATTTTTTTCTAGACTCACGATCAGATTTGTTTAAAGTTTGTTTATTTGTTTAGTTATTTAAATTACAGATACCTTTTAAATTTTCCCCCCCAATAATCAAGAAGTTCAGATTCAAAAATGCATGCAATTTGTCTTAAAGCATGTAATAAAATCTTGTTAGTTTAGGGACCAATTCTAACTAACTATTAACTAGTTGTTATTAGCATGCATATTACTAGCATATTGGCTGTTTATTAGTACTTATAAAGTACATATTAATGCCTTAAATTTTGAAGTACGGTAACATTGTAATGCTTCTAAGAATTACTAATAATTCTGTATAAAATATTTTATGCTGTATAACAAACTCAAATGCTATTTAATTAATTGATATATTTTATTTTTTAACATGGGTGTTATTCAGGCTATAACTGTGCATTATGCAGTAGGCTAGTATTCCATTTTGAGTTTTTTTGGGCATCACCATTGCATTTGAGCTTTTGAGTTAGACATTGTCAAAAATACTGTCTAGGTAGGCAGCTTACTAGGTTGAGTACACAGCCGGCATGAACTTGAGACACACGTATCAGATACTTTAAGGGTTACTCAGGTCTCGCCCGTTCTGCCCAACGGGTCTTTGTACACTTGATGCGGTGGAGCATTCAGGACAAAAATGAGAGTGGAGGGAAAACAGACCGGCACGCAGCAGGCGAAAGAAAGCAAACAGCACACTACATGAGAGAAAAGAACAGCCATTTACCACCGAACATTTCATGACTGGGTGTCCTAGAGGAAAAACTAACAGCATCTGAAGACACAACAGGCAGATGGACAGGATCAACAACTGGTTTTGTAAGGAAAGGATTTAAGTTTGGAATGGAGTCATCAACAGCCTCTGTAGACGTGAAAGGATCTACATGGCCAAAGACAAGACAGAAACAGAAAATAACAGGAAAAGGTTAGAGAGAGACAGAGAAAGCATGCAAACACAGACTAACAGACAAATGAGGTGGAGTCTGTTTGGTCTGGACGCGTTCAGATGTAAATAAACTACCATTGCACTAGACTGAATGAGACGTCCGACATGGAATGTAATGAATATGTAACAATTCATGCATCTAAGCTAAATGGATACGAATGATTCTTTGAATCATGACATATATTAGAACTCATAAAAATTTATTTGACTGGCTATGCCTACATTTCAGTAGAACTTCATTCTGATATAAAGCTTTAAAGTTCTAAAATAAATCAAAAATATATAAATATTTCATTTAATATTTATTTTATAAATATTAAAGGGGTCATATGATGCGATTTCAAGTTTTCCTTTCTCTTTGGAGTGTTACAAGCTGATTGTGCATAGATAAGATCCCTGAAGTTGCAAAGACTAAAGTCTCAAAACCAAAGAGATATTCTTTATCAAAGTTAAGACTCTGCCACGCCCCCCTAAAACGGCTATGTCAACATATTCTGTTACACCAAATACACAAAATAATGATCTTTAAAAAAGCATCATATGACCCCTTTAAATAAATATTGATATACACAATATAAAAAATTTATATTATTAGTTATTAGAAAGTTTTATTAGTAAGCTTTAAAGTTGTACAAAATAAGATAATATTTTCTATCATTGCTATTCATAATTACTTTTATTGTACAACTTTGAAAAAAATTACTAGCTGTGCCAAAGGTTCTGTAACCTTTAACCTGATTTGAAGACAAAAAAGGTAGACATGCAATATTATAAAATATTATTAAAGATGCAATTCAGATTTTATCTACTGAAATATTTATTTTAATAAAAAACAAAAAAAAACAAAAAGAGATTTAATTTGACGTCATGTTTTCTTAAAATAAATTTTCCCAAAATCCAATGTGAAGTTCAAAAACATCTCCGTAGACCTCTCCTGGCTATCATTTTCACTATGAACATGTTCAATTAATTTTAAAAGATTAGTTCACCCAAAAATCAATTCTGTCATCATTTACTCACCGTTCCAAGACTTGGAATATATTCCACAAGTCAAAATGATCACTTTTACGAGACGTTTTTGGATCAGTTTGGAGTATGACAGCCAGTATGACAGTTTTCATTTACTTGTGTAGCAAAATTTCACATTTTGTGTTCCACGGAAGAATGAAACTCATACGGGTTTGGAACGACATAAGGATTAATAAATTATTACAGAATTATCATGTTTAGATTCCTTTAAAAGTCAGAGAACATGACAGCAGAGGTGTTGGACAGTGTATAGCATACATAAATCTCCAAAGAGCTTCAAGATAATACATCTGTGAAGGTTGCTGAGCGTGTTTTACACAGTATAATCCAATAAACACTGAAAGCTGCAGGCTTTTTATGGTTCTGCCTGACTAATATCAGAAACCAATATGATATCAGTTCTGCCACGTTAAATATATAAAAAATTTATATTATTAGTTATTAGAAAGTTTTATTAGTAAGCTTTAAAGTTGTACAAAATAAGATAATATTTTCTATCATTGCTATTCATAATTACTTTTATTGTACAACTTTGAAAAAAATTACTAGCTGTGCCAAAGGTTCTGTAACCTTTAACCTGATTTGAAGACAAAAAAGGTAGACATGCAATATTATAAAATATTATTAAAGATGCAATTCAGATTTTATCTACTGAAATATTTATTTTAATAAAAAACAAAAAAAAACAAAAAGAGATTTAATTTGACGTCATGTTTTCTTAAAATAAATTTTCCCAAAATCCAATGTGAAGTTTAAAAACATCTCAGTATACCTCTCCTCTTCATTTTCACTATGAACATGTTAAATTAATTTTAAAGGATTAGTTCACCCTAAAACCAATTTTGTCATCATTTACTCATGTCGTTCCAAGACTTGGAATATATTCCACAAGTCGAAATGATCACTTTTACGAGGCTTTTTTGGATCAGTTTGCATTATGACAGCCCCAGTTTTCATTTCCTTCAATTATATGAAGAAGTGTGGCAAATTTTGTGTTCCAGAGAAGAATGAAACTCATGCGAGCTTGGAACGACATAAGGATGAATAAATGACTACAGAATGATCATGTTTAGATAAGTTATTCCTTTAAAAGTGACATGACAGCAGAGGTGTTAGACAGTGTATAGCATACTTAAAACTCCAAAGAGCTTCAAGGTAATACATCTGTGAAGGTTGCTGAGTGTGTTTTAAGCAGTATAATTCAATAAACACAGAAAGCTGCAGGCTTTTTATGGTTCTGCCTGACTAATATCGGAAACCAATATGATATCAGTTCTGCCACGTTAAATATCATGTTACACACCCTATTAGCACTTTCAGATAAAAATCAGACTCTCATTTATCAGACTTTACAGATTAGACAAATAAAATGCATGCAATAAGACCATGGATAGCATCATGGATAAAACTCAAGAGGGAACTTTCATTGCTTCAGTTTTGATTACAGAGGAGAAGATAGTACTGATGTAAGCTCGATTTCAATCAGATGCATATTAATGCAGATCTGTGTGTTCTTATGGTGTGGACCACTCACCTCCCCATGTGTTGGCTAAAGGCAGGCCAGTGGAGAGAGGCAGGGAGGGCTGGAACGCGGGCTGCAGGTCCAAAAGATCATTCGGCACCTTCGGAGTGCTGGAGCCAGACACGCACCAAGACAAACACAGACACACACACACACACAGGAACTGCATTAATGTCTTCCATAAAACAGCAGTCTAAGGGCCAAGCATTTCACAGTTATATGGCAAAGACAAACTTGGCACGTTGATTTGAAGTGCTTAAAGTAGAGACTTAGGGAGTTGGGGGAAATTCACATGCAATCAATACCTTCTTCACAGCCAAATCCTGTCCAGGCAGGAATTCACACACTTTTAGTGTAAACAAGAGAACCAGAGCTTGATTTTGAACCAACATTTTTTTTTTTTTTTAAATACACAAAGCCGCACAGTCTCAGGATAGGACATTAATCTGATTTGAACAAACCCCTAACCGCAAGTATAATAGTAATAATGATGCTCGTCTTAGCATCATTAATAACGCATGTCCCAGTTACTCCTTGGGTGACATCATCATTAAAATCACATACGCCTATAACGTAATCGCGGAGTTTAACTTGCCATCATTGTGTAGTCCTGCATAGAGCCCTAATAAAACACTAAAAGCTGAAGATTGATGCCAAACGACTGCACATGTGCACTCATGCACCAACTGGGAAAATAATCACTACCAGCCGTGTATCATCAGAATAGAGAGACTGTGGGATCAATCAACAAATATAGAGCAATTAGTTCAGCCCACACAATCTAACTGGCTGAAAAGCATTTGAACTTTGCTGTCATTTAAAATCAACATAAAACGGCATTCACAATATCCCATAATGTGACATTGTGATTTGTTAGTTATTTATTTATTCACTTTTTAACGCCATGCCACCATCAAGGCTATTTTCATGCCGATCTCAGAATAAAGTATACAATTAACAAAAAGTTATAAAAAGACATTTCAGATCTACACTAGACAAAAATTCTAAAAATACATTCAGGTGATACATTTTTAAATAAATCAGTTAAACACACATCTGAATAAAACCATTGACTTTTTACATTAAAAACAGTACAATCTAATAAAATATGCTTCACAGTCATTTTAGTTTGGCAAGTAAGGCATGATGGTGGTTCTTCACCTTTCAAAGGCACAATATGTAAGCTTTCGTTCACGGATGAGGTAATAAATTATTTTTTTATTAATTGTACCTTGCACAGTTATTCAAACAGCGAATAAATTACACAGAGAATGCGAGCAAAGAACATTGTGACATTACATTGTGAAAGAACATTATGACTGACCTAAGTCTATCGCGAGTTTAAGCACTCTCAAAAACTCCCCTTATAATCAGTAAAGCTGTCTATACATGAATCTCTTACATCATACATCTGCACTTTGTTGTTTATAATGAGAGAATTCACGTGAGTCAGCCAGCGCGTGTAGTGAACAAAAAACTCATCTGAATGCCTCTGATTGGTCATTGCATTCATAAGCTCAACACACTCGTGTGTGATTGGTTAGAATGCGCAACACTGTAAAAACGCATAAAAAAATCATGGCGCAACATTGAGCAGATCTAAATTTAATGCTGCGGTCAACACTTTTCATTTCATTTAAATTTTATTCGCGACAGCCGTAATGGATTTAGTTTAACGTTAACTGTACAGCAGCATTTGTGTTGCCATAGTTTCTACAAGCGGAAACTGAGGATATGCAGATATTACATAATTGATTGGCGACAATGACCAGGGATGAGTCATTATTTAAAATTGGAATTTCTCTGGATTTACAAATCCTTGGGAACTTTTGGTATAACAAATGCACAACTGCATGAAATATATCACACTGTGCAAATAGTTTTGGGATATTTTATTACGAAAATCTTACATATTGTGCCTTCAATAAATATCCATGTATAAGTCTTGTATGACCTAAAATACCATTTTGATTTGTACTGAACAAACAAACAAACAAACAAACAATATATATATATATTAGAGAGAGAGAGCGAGAGAGAGAGATATTACACATGTAATTCACATTTTTATATTTTTTTTAATGACAAAGTTTTTCTATAATATATGTGGCATTTTTAAATCATATTCCGGAAGTAGAAAAAAAGAATATCAATTATTTTATATAAAAAGTACACTAAAACAGTAATATTGAGAAATAATATAAATCAAGATAACAGTTTTCTATTTGAATATATTTTAAAATGTAATTTATTCTTGTGATGGCAAAGCTGAATTTTCAGAAGCCATTACTCCAGTCTTCAGTGTCATATGATCCTTCAGAAGTAATTCAGATATGCTGATTTGGTGCTCAAGAAACATTTCCTATTATTATCAATGTTTTAAAAAAAAAATAGTGCTGCTAATAGTAGTGCTACATTTTGGTTCAAGGATTCTTTGATGAGCAGAAAATTTTAAATAGCATCATTTAGCTGAAATTTAAATCTTTTGTACCATTATAAACATCTTAACTGTCACTTTTGATCGATTTAATGTGTCTTTGATTAATAAAAATAGGAATTTCTTTCAAAAACCGACCCCAAGCTTTTGAACAATACATATATAAAACTATTACCTGTTATTGAAGCTACTGGGTGTGGAGAACAGGTCAATGGCTGGGGCAGAACTGATGGAGCCCGTCGTTGTTGATACGGGAGACGCAGCAGTCGTGGAGGATGTGGAGGGCTTCTTGGACAGTTCCTTCAGACGCTGCTCCTGACGGAAGAATGAAAATCACATAACCTTGTTAATTACATTGCTATTTGGGTATGATCCAATTTAATGAGCTCTTTAACCAAAAACAAAAACCTTTCCACTCTTTCATAGAAGGTCGTGACCAGTGTTGGGCAAGTTACTCTGAAAATGTAATCAAATTACTGATTACTTCTTTTAAAAGTAATCACATTACTGTTCTGATGACTTTATTTCAAAAGTAATTAGCTACATTACTAGTTACGTTACTTTTTCCGTGAACACGCAAATTTCAGCACTGCATGGCTCAACGCTGCAAACACGTGTTATAGCCTAAATAGAAACTCTGCATACGCTTGCACCTGTTAATCGTTTATATTTTATATTAGTTCATGTTGCTTTTGTGCAATAGATGAAGAACAATTTATTGGTTTCAGATATTTTATGTTTAGATATTTCTATTTTGCAGGAGTCCCGTGAATCATTTTATTCTTCCGCATCCCACACACAGACGAGTGTCTACCCACCAGCACTCGCCCATCTTGTCCCGCGCTGCTGTGGCGTCGGGTCTCGCGGGAGCATGTCTATAATCCACTGGCACTTGACTCGACAGTGCGTGTGCTACATCCTTTTTACAATCTCTAGATTATAAAACACTGCATTCTGTCAGCAATGTAACGCGGCAGTAACGTATAGAGACCTCGGCTTGTAACTATACTCTAATTACTATTTTGAAAATTATAACGCGTTAAATTACTCCGTTACTAAAAAAGTAATCAAATTACAGTAACGCGTTACTAAGTAATGCGTTACTGCCCAACACTGGTCGTGACACACCTTAAGTGCTTTTAATCGAGCCTGCTCCTCCTCCAGAGCTGCCTGCTTTTCCCTCTCATCGACTTTGGTGAAAGAGATACCCGTGTTGGCCAAAGAGGACACCGCATTGGACAGCGTACTGGCTCTGTGTAGAAAGACAGGCAGAAGACCTGATATAGTAAACACGCCACTTTTGAAATCGCTAGGGTTGCATTAGTAGACATCAATGCTACTAGCATGAGCACAGAGCACATTTTTACTGCTTCCTCTACAGGAACGAAGTTTGACCCTGGACTTCCGCAAAGAGTGTCAGTGTTAGCAAAGCTTGCATTTTTTTAGCCTACATCCAAACTGAAAGTCATCAAATTCCTGTACATTCCTCTTGCACTTTGTTTAAACATTACACTGATTGTTTTATAAATATGTTACATTAAATAAAATAAGAAAATTAAATGACATCACTCACAACACTTAAAACCACCTGTCCTTAGATAATTCAATACTTCAAGCAGATTAAAATATAAACCTAGGAAAAACTGAATTATGCAACTTCAAACTTTGTACAATTTCTTTGTATATAAACTGCAGTAATGTAGCCTTTAAAGAATGACTGAGATATGAAATGTTGATTTCTAGATGGCAGCAAAAATCTTGTTTTCAGCATTAAAAAAGCTCAAAATCCCTTTCACATGGAAAACCTGCACCAAACAAACCTCTCTCCCACACATGCTTGGCACATCCAAAAGTCACACACACTCGTTGAATGCAGAGCTCGAGGAAAGCAACCCCCTCACATACTAGAAAGTTCAAAATTAACTGCTTGAAAATCACTGTACCTGCTGGCGGCCGTGGAGTCTTTGACCTTTTTCCCCTCTAATGAAGCCAAATGCTGCTCAAGGGCGTCCAGAAGGCTACTGGGGGCCTGGAGGTATGGAAACATTAGCTTACAGGCCAGTACACACACACACACGGACCACAAATATACACACGCAACATATAGCGGTGATTGATTTAATTAGGGGCACTTTTTTGACTACTTAAAACCTTGAAAAAATTTAGCTTCTCTTAAATGTTTTAGGACATGTGACTTTACTATAAACAACCCTTCACTGGATTTTGAAATAATATTTTTCATGTTGTACATGATGCATTGACATTACTATTTGATATTTTTCAAACTTTAGAGAAAACTTTTAATAAGACTTGTTGGACTTGATATAAATAAACTAATTTAACAAATTTAAAAAGTTAAATAAATACAGAAATAAAAAAAAAATAAAAAAAAATAAAAAGATAAATTAAAGTGAAAAATAAAAAAACAATGTTAAAAGAACAAATAGATTAAAAACATAAATAAATGTATTTATTAATTTCAGTAATTGCATTTATTTATTTATGTACGTATTTATGTATGCATGTATTTTATAACAGCTGCATTACAATTACTGACTAGTTTGGTACGGACACAAGGATTTTAAAATTTTCTTTACATTATAACTAAATAGATTTTGTTCTTTAATGTTTTCTAAAAAAAATGTCTTGCATGATGATAATGACAATAATATAGAATCGCTGTCCATATTATATTAATTATCAAAAAATATAAAAATTAAAATCAAATTTTTAAAAGATCACTTTAATAAAACACTATATACACAATATTAAAAACATACTACAGACAAAAATGTCCCCTTAAGTGAAGATTCACTGCTGTACAAAAACACAGATATAACATGCAAAGTCAGATAGCATGCAAAGTCAGATAGCATGCAAAGGTACAAACCAAAAGCTCTGAACACATAGAGAGAAGAGAGTGAGATGCAGGTACTTACACAAACTGTAAACTGAAAACAGAAAGATAAGGAAAGATACAGAATATAAAGGTGGTAGTTTAACAGAGTTTTTTTTCCAGAGCTTTTAAGAAACTGCAGAAATGTTAAGCAGAATAAAAACAAACCCAACAATCTTGTAAACTTAACATACGGAGAAAACTTGATTTATGTGGAAAAAAAAGACTTCTTTAATATAGCTTATATAAAAAGACTTCTATATACATACAGTATAAAAGGTGGAGATCAAACACAAATGTTTAAGAATCCAATGAAAACCCCATATTAACAGGGCATGACTGTCTAAATTTTGAGGGGAACCTGTACCCTCTAATTTTATGATTCTGGTATCCTTTTCAAAAAATAATCATTTCCTTGTTAACACTGTCTCCTTAACACAAAAAGCTAATTGTTAAAAACAAAACGAAAGCAAATGAAATCGGACCTAAACCTAGACCTGAATTTTGTCTTAAACCTGTAAGCTGCCCACAGCATCACACCTTTATGTACTGTATGAATCAAGCATTGAGGACAGTTAGAATAGCTTCCCCCACCAGTGTCATGCAGAGATGTCCGCATGCGTCGAGCACTGCAGGCCTGCAGTTTGCAGCCTCACTGCACAAGCAAATTAGCTGCAGTTCTAGAACTCTCTGATGACTTTTCCTATAACTCATGTTACGTATTGAGATTTCTAGGTAACTGCAGGTTAGAGAGTTCTACAACTTGCACTTGTTTGGATCTAATGCAGCCGTGCCACGTTTGGCTGAGGATCTCAAGCCGTGTCTTGCAAAATAAGGGCAGAGTGACAGATAAGTAGCTGATGGGCAGAAGGGAAATCAGTCAGTGTAAGTTTTTCCTCAAAAAAACAAGGCCAATTTATTTGTCCTCACCTGTGATAGGTCTGGTATGTCCCCTCGGTCGATTCCCACTTGCTGTAATGAGCAGAAAAGAGCTGGTTAATGTGTGTCCCGTGTGTATTTGCTCATTACATAAGCAGGGAGCCCCATAGCACAGGTTACGGCGTCTTACCTCTGCCACTTTGAGAAATTCTGAGATTCTCGTCATTCGAGTGAGGAATTTCTTATAGATGTCCAGGCCTTCTTTACACTGGGCTTTCTTCATGTCAAAGTACTTCTCTACACATGGGAAAAGGTATGAAGTCAGATTTTGAGATGGCTTTGCACTCCCACCACATTTTAAGGGGGCTTGCTTTTCGCTCTGCGACTTCACCAGGCCAAGAGTTATGCTTGGCATCTGTCGTCACAACATGACCCGAAGCCACTCTCACTAGTATGTTAGCCTCTCACAGAAACTCTCATCCAACATGTAACCACTGAACGAAGCCAACGGATGCAGCTCAGCCCCTGAACGGAGCCGTCCAACACAAACACTCCAAGTAGGGCTGTTCGATTTAGTAAAAATATAATATTGCAATTGTTTTAACAAATACTGCAGTAGCTATTTAAATTGTGATATGATAATCTGATATTTCTGCTGCTTAGATATCAAAAATAAGAATAATAAGGAATAAAATCACATGAAAAAGCTGCTCTTCAACACTAACTAGAAAGCAATGCCTTTTGGCTCTTAGTTAAAAGGGATAGTTCACCCAAAAGTGAAAAAATGTTGTCATCATTTACTCATGTTCATGTTGTTCCAAACCTGTATAAGTTTCTTTCTTTTGTTAAACATAAAAGAAGATATTTTGAAGAATGTTGGTAATCAAACAGTTGACGGTCCCCATTGACTTCCATAGTATTTCTTTCTCAACTATGGACGTCAATGGGGACCAACAACTGTTTGGTTCTTCAAAATTATTCAAAATATCTTCTTTTGTGTTCACCATAAAAAAAGAAACTTATACAGGTTTGGAATGACATGAGGGTGAGTAAACGATGACAATTTTCATTTCTGGGTGAACTATTCCTTTACGTCTGAATGGAACCGAACTCAAGCCTTTTGCAGACTTAAAAGATTCAGATCAAACAAATTTTAATATTACACAAAGACAAGCCGAGTAAATACAAAATGCAGTTTGGAAATGATTTCATTTATTAAGGGAAAAAAGCGGTCCTATATATATATATATATATATATACACAATTTATTATTAATAAAATATAATTATTATTACTATTTTTAATTAATTGTTTCATGTAAAAAATTCCACGTTTTCAACAACAACTGATCAATATCAGTGGTCTTAAATTGATAAGACAACATCACATGGTCTGGATAACCAAGTTTAATCACGCTCTCTAGCTAATCATCACTTCAAGTTGAAATTTGTTTAGTGCATTGCTAGTTTTACTGCCCTGAACAGTGAAATTATCCTTACTTGTCCCAAAAATACATTCTGAGACTATTGATATATACAGGAAGGGTTTGTTTTATGAGTTACAGCTCTCAGGCAGTAAATAAACTGTCATAAAACTGAGTGACGAGTCAGAGTCAGAGTCCTATGCAACTGTTGATGAGTGGGCTGATACTTTAAGTTCAAAGGTCTCTGTAACAGGAACCAACAGTAGAGATAAATGGTAAAAGCCAATATGTAGGACAGCCCACTTTAAGTTTTAAAAGCTCAAGCAGGATAACAGCTCACCAAGCAAGTTGATGATCCCTTCATTGTAGGCCGCGAACAGACGGATGGCGTCTTTAAACAGAAGCATGAATGCAGCGTTAATGACCCCGTTTGTGAGCTCATTAGCATTTACCTGCCGACACAAAATAAGCCAAACACAATTTGGATTGAGACAATTATGCTGCAAGAACTGAAAATCAATGCAATTACGAAAAAACAAGTGGAAAAGACCACTGAAGAAAGATCAAGCCATTAGTACACATGGAACTTAAATAAGTCTAGTCTAAACTCACGTTGAAGTCGAGGAGTGCATCCATCTGGTTTTGGATGATAGGGATGGTCTTTAGGAGCTTCTCTGTGTTCATAGTTCTCATTACGCCATCCGCCCTTTGACAACAACAGACAACCAATTCAATGAAGAGCTCTCATTTTTGGCTGAACTATCCCGTTAGAAAACAGACTTACCCTCTTTTTACTTTCGTGAAGTCGAAAGCCACTTGTCTGTATGAGACTGCTTTTTCGTTCAGGTAGCGGCTGTACCTCCGAATGAAGGTGGACATGTCATATCCTGCACGCAAAAGAGAACATGTTGTCTTCGGAGTTCACAGTGACCCACGGGTTGTTGAACTTAGTCATACAGCAGACTGTATTCTTGTGTTCTGATTCTAGACATTTAAAACAAGAGTCTTTGATGTACTAGTTGAATTCTGAGCACAATGATTGTGACTCATTTTAAATGCTCAGAGGAAAAAAACATTCCGGTTTCCACATGGTTAGTACAATGCATGACACAGCCTAGAACCCGTCAGATTTATCGGACTCTGCCAAGTATGACAGGTCATCAAGAAGTTTACTAGTCTATGCTGCTAGTCATATGCTCAAATGCAAAAGATAAAACACATAAAAGTATTACAAATGATCTGGACAACATATTTTAAATATGTACATTATATTCTACAATAATTACATTAATATGAGAGCACTAAGACTTTTAGTGACAGACATTTTTGTCATATAATTTCATCCTCAGTAGTTAAAAATACTAGTAGTTCGATCCATGGACTCAAATGTCAATGGAAGTCCCTTTATGGCATTTTAAATGCTTATATATTTTTACTAAAACAATTAAATTCAGATAAAAATTTATAATTTCTTGTATTAATTTAGCAATAATAATAATAATATTTTTTATTTATCTATAAATTGATTTATTTTCTTTTTCTTTTATTATTACTTATTATTTATCATACTTTATTTGTTTTAACATTTGTTTTATTCACCTGACCAAACTGGCTCTTGGTCAAAATATAACAATAATATAGCATAATGTAACATATGCAAACAAATAAACGTACAAAAGTCGTTTAATAGTTATTCAAACATATTTTTTAGCCTTCTAATAATATTCTATATATATATATATTTTATTTTTATTTTTTTCTCCCATGTACTTCTTCCCCAGCTATATTATTATGGCTATATTACCAAGCAATAACAATTTGTACTGTATATTAATTTTTGTTTAATATGAAAATAAAATAAATGCAAAAACTTTGTCAATTCAGAGATTTTCAAACTTAAGCCTTCTGATGATATTCAATATATATTGATACATACAGTATATTTTATTGCCCAGCTATATTATATATGGGTTGTAATAACGAAAAGTACTAAAAAAGTACCCAGCAATAACGAAAAGTACTAAAAAAGTAGGATAAAGGTGAAGTACTGCAAGGTGCCTCAGGAAGAAAATCTGAGCCAGGAAGTTCTAGTCATTTTCAGAAAACGGGCCCAGAGTTCTTCTTGAAAGACTCTCCAAACTAGAGAGTCTCGCTGTGCTGATTCCCCTGCTGCTTTCTTTGAGTGCTGGCTGCCAAGCAGCTTGTTAACATGGGAAAAGCCTTGGGTAAATAAACCCACTAGTGCTTTATTTAAGCTGAAAGTCGGCCATGTTGCTGAACAGGTCCCAAAAGGGAGTTCAGGGAGAGAAGCGGAGACAGACAGACAGAGAGACAGGAACTCATGCTTCTACTGCCCAAACCCTCCAACACCGCATCTGACCATGACTAACATTAAAATGATAAACCTGTGAAAGCACAGTGCATGTTCTGTCAGCTCCTCAAATATGCATCATGTCTGCATTTGTCTTGGGTTTGGACGCTCATGAAAATGGATGACACAGCTGGGATGTGTTTGGAAAAATAGAATGACTAATGAAGTGTTGGGCTGAAAGCACCTACCTTGTAACCCGCTTTTGTCCAAAAAATTACTGAGGTTGAATAATGTGTTCCTGGAGGCCAGATATTGTACAAATCTCTGTCAACATGAGGAACAAAGAGTTCGGATTTCAATTTATTTTGAAGTTAGTCACCATGCAAATAAACAGTACTGTCAAAGGCAAAGCCACAAGGGTAAAACTGACTGACTGTGGCACATGTGCCGGTTTAACTGCTTTAGTTTAACCAAAACCATGATTAAACTACTGAAAATACCAAGAGTTAAAGGATTAGTTCACCAAAAAATGTAAATTTGGTTATTTACTCACGCTCATTTCATTTCAAACCTGATTTACTGTCTTCCATGAACATAAAAGATGAATCTTGGCCAATGTTTTCAGTAAAATTAAAGTGAATGGTGAATAAGGTTGTACAGCTTTAAAAAAATGTTATAAAAGTATTGCCATTTTAAAACTATTTTTTGATTGATTGATTTTGTAAAATAAAATGTAACAAATACACATATGTATAAATATATATATTGTTAATTTGGAATGACAAGACTTTTTTTTTTTTCATTTTTAAGTGAACTATTCCTGAGTTCAGTGTGTAGGCATTTAATCAGGCTATAGAGCTCAGGCTAAAGGTTATAAAAGTGTACAAGAGCATGGGTGTATGTAGGGAAGCTGACCTCATTGCCGTAGACCATAATGTGGTGTGTGGTGATGAGGGATTTAAACACGACCACCCAGCTGGTGTTGGTGGTGCGCTCGAACAGCGTGTCGGCCAGCTGAGGGATGTTCACATTCATCTCATTGGTGCAATGGATCAGATCTGTAAGAGAGAGTTGAAGGAGGTCAGTGTGTTTATAATTCAAACTGTCAGCACGTCACAGACTTTGTATTTGGGCCCTAAATAACTTAAACAGTTTTGGTATGTTAACTTTTTTGAATCCTCCTAGTTCAGACTTCCTCAAAAGGCTGCCTTAACAAGTAGTCAACTGATGATTATACTGATATAAAGAGAACATGGTGGTCAAAATGACATGCTACAAAAGATTTCAATTTCTAATAAATGATGCTCTTTTGAACCATTCATCAAAGAATCCTGAAATGTGTACATCACCGTTTTCAGAAAAATATTAAGCAGCTCAACTGTTTTCAACATTGATAACAATAGGAAATGTTTCTTGAGCACCAAATCATCATATTAGAAAGATTTCTAAAGGATCATGTGACACTAATGGCTGCTGAATATTCAGCTTTGCTAGCACAGGAATACATTTCATTTTAAAATGTATTAAAATAGTAAACAGTCATTTTAAATTGCAAAAATATTGTATTACTTTATTACATTACTACGTTTTTACTTACTGTATATTTGATCAAATAAATGCAACTTTAGTGAGCATTAGACTTTTCAAAAACTTAAAAAAAAAAACTTCAACAGCAGTGTACATAATACAATTTTAAATGACAGCAAACAAATGTACTCTATTATGTAGATGATATTAGTTTTATTATTTATTAGATTTATTAGTTAATACTCAATTCACTGAAAAAAAATATAGATATTCACAAGTTATAATTTGACAAGGCCCTCAAAATGGCCAAATATTGGCTACAACTGGTTCTAAACAGACAGATTGTGATAAAAGTTCATTGGTCCAAAATCACATTCCACATTTGATAATTTTAAGTTCGAAAATGTTCGGATTGGCAGTGTTCATCTCATAAACAAAATTAAGGTTCAAAAAGTGTTTCACTGAGGAACAAAATGACAATAAGATTAATTAAAACATCAGAAATAAGACATTTTTTTCAAGTTCATAATTTTGCACAGTATCATCAACTACAATTATTTTAGTTTACAAAGATTATTATTTAATTGTTATTAGGCCATTAAAAAAAAGTATCAATACAACACAACAAATTATTGACTAAACGGACAAGACATTTACGAGAATGTATTAAAAATAGAAAAACTACTTGATGCGGTTTGAAAGTTCTGTAACCTCCTGCCACAGTTTCCAATGTTGTGACATTATAAAAGTCAGCTAACCTATTTACTGAAAAAAGCCAGTTTCCAGAGAACAGTCTAACGCTGTAGACGGTGTGTGATTCTAAGGTGCCTCCGCTCAGAGTGTTAGCATTCAGACAACGCTGACATGGTGTGAGTGAGAGACATGCATTGATATCCTGTGCTTTATTAGTTCTTTGGCTGGACTCCACAGCCATCTGCGCTCCGAGAGCGAGAGCGGGATCCCTCAAGGCTCTCTCTACACCTCCGGCACTTTGAGACTCATTCAGGGCCGCAGCTTATCATGCCATTCATGAAGCCTCCCACAGACAGCGAGGGAGGACGCCGCTGCCTCACTCCGCTGGGAATCAGATCCGAATGGGATTATATCATCGTGAAGTTTTCTGGATTCAAATGATGGAGAAACCACTTCTAGACCTCCTTAAATTAAATGAAAAAGCCACTCATTGTTACAACCCATTTCAAAGACACAAGAGTAATTTCACACTCCCCAACAAATTGCCGCCAAATATTAGTGCATACATGACCTTTTGAAGTGGGGATGTGAAAACATGCTGCACAGTCAGCATGGGTGGTCTACAGAATGCCCTCTCTTTTACAGATAACATCCACCATTTAAACCTGCACAAAGGCTTGGCCACGTAACAACAAAAGACTTTTCAGAGCCAACACAAAACGCCTGCGCCAAGCATGACGGCGCTGCGAACGCACACGTCCATGGGGCTTGAGTGAAAGATCAAAGCCAGAAGACGACGTTTAATGGTGCTACCGTTCTGCGCCAAGGTAACCGTACACTGACGGATTTACCATACATGCCCTGATGTAGCCAACAAGCACATCAGAAAGGAGGAATGAGAGATCTGTAGGACTCTTTCCTAATCAAGACCCACTCAATGCGTATCTCTTTCTCCCTGGAGTGGAGATAGACGTGATTGATGGTTCAGCAGGGTGAACATGCATGTGTATCCAACCATGTGATGGTCACGTGATGAAAAACAAATTATGTCACCCGCTCTGCCTAAACATCAAACTCTGACATTTACCTACTTGAAGGAAAAAACCTTACCAAACTTTAATAAAATATCCATATTCCTTTGACATTGAGGCTCATGATTGAAATGCCTGTTAGGTAAATGATGCAATATTAAAAGTTGTCACATGCCAAAGGGTGCACTGGAAATGTTCTAATATCACACTGACTTTATTTGCTTCTATAAAATATGTTGAAGGAATAGGTTGATATTAAACGGATAGTTCACTCAAAAATGAAAACCGTCTTAATTTACTCACCCTCATGTTATTCTAAACCTGTATTGTATACCTCACTTGAACTCTTGGATTTGGAATATAGAACAAAAATGGTGTACTTTTAAGTTGTTTTGCATCTTTTTTTTTTTAATCTTGAAAGCTCTAGCCTCTGTAAGCTGTAAAAACATGTGGATAAAAAGCTCTACAAATGTTTCCTTTTGAAGAAACAAAGTCATACGGGTTTAAAACAACATATGGGTGAGTAGCCTAAATCATGATCATCTTCATTTTCTAGTTCTTTAAAACATGACTTGTGCTTGTAAACATACAAAGAAGACACTGTTATGGTATAACCTATTAATAGAGAAAGATAAGTTTACTTTAGACTAAAATATTCACCCAGCCAATGATTATGGTGGAAATATGCAAACCTACACCACTAAATATCCATTTCCTCATGGTTATATATTTGGGTCAGTGTCATGACTCATTTTGTCCAAATGTAATTTGGTAACACTTCAGATTAGGGAACACATTAAATATTAACTAAGAGCTTTCCCTTAATAAACTCCTAATTACTGCTTTTTGATAGTAAGTAAGGTAGTCATTGTAAAAGTTGTGTTTAGGTATGGGGTAGGGTTAAGGAATCTAGAACATGTCAGGAATTATTTGTTGTCAGGTGATAAAAAAAACTGTAAATAACTGAATAAAGCCCTGTAAACCCTCATGGTACTCTCGTCGATGTGCATTGAAGACTGACATGTAAGAGAAGAAATTGATGAAAAGTCGTTATTTTTGTTTTCTTTGCTTACAAAAAGAATTCTCGTAGTTTCATAAAATTAAAATTGAACAACTGTTGTCACATGGACTGTTTTAATGATGTCCTTACTACCTTTCTGGGCCTTGAACGTGGTAGTTATGTTGCTGTTTATGCAGGGTCAGAAAGCTTTCGGATTTCATCAAAAATATCTTAATTTGTGTTCCAAAGATGAACAAAGGTCTTACGGGGTTTGGAACAACATGAGGGTGAGTAATTAATCACAGAATTTTCATTTTTGGGTGAACAAGTAAATCCCTTAAAGATCTCAGACATCCTTATTGTCAATGACCCATTTGCAATTTATAGTAAGTGTCATTACCATGAGAGCATAACTAATGTTAATAATTAACCAGGAAAATTGTTGATTTTCAAGGGAAATTGATCTTACAGCTAGTGATGGGCTGGGCTGCATACTGTCATATATTAATGCACTGCATGCCAGAAAAACATGAAAAAAAAATATTTTCTTCTGTTGACAAAGCTAAACAGATGGATGGCGTTCATGGAGCAACAATGGACTATAAGACCTAATGGCATCGCTATGGTGTAATGTGTCCTGAGCCTTCAAATACCATTTTCTTTTGATAAATGACAGGAGAACAGAGTGGACTCAGCAACAGGATGCTGCAAACTTCCTACAGTTCATGACAGGAAACTGATTCGACATGAATCCTTTAAAATGCTCAGTCATAAAACAAGCTGATGATAGAGATATCTAGACTCTCTGACCCCTAAAGTACAGAAATGGCAGGAGGCAACAAGAGACACAGGCCAAACAGGTAACAGAAAACAGGTAGAGTTTTTTTTTTCTCATCACAGCTCTGGTCCGCTTCAGGCAGACCCATTTGTGAGGGCAGAGGACAGGAAACCATTAAGTGAATGATTGCTCCCCTGATTCGAAGGCTTTAACTCGAAGACAGATAGAAGACAGCATCCTGCTCTGCATCACATAAACGCGATGCACAAAGGGCTGACTACCTGCAGACTAACTTGGACAGGCAATGAATAACCAGTAATACAGGTCAAAAATGCAACAATTTGGTCAACAGAAACTATTGAGACAGGTCTCTGATAATATATATAACATATTGTGTATTGTAGCAATATCTAGCATATATAATAATTAATAATGCAGATGCATGGATGTTACACATAATAAAGTGCAAATAACTTTTTAAAACATTTTATCCAGACAATATTACTTCCCATGAAGACCATGTGGTTAACATCAGACCAGCACGCAAATATCATGGCAAAAAAATGCCACATGTACAGAGTGCATTCACAGAGCTCACTGGCCAGAGGAAGGAGAACATACATATCTTAGCTGGAATGCAGGCTTGAATTCACAGCATTGTAGAATCCAGAGCTTGTTGAGGAAGTAATGTAGCCACAAAAACTCAGATATGCCAGAAAAAAAATAAATATATAAAATGCTATAAACTTGATAAACTGGGAACTAGAGCTAAAAAAAATATGCAAATAAAATAAAACAAAATTAAATTAAATTCAGGAAGTCAATCGGGCATTAGTTTTCGTCAAAAAATGAGCAGCTGCTCAAGGATAAATGAGAAAAAAATTCTAAACATCATTCAGTAAAATTTCATGTCTGGACTCATTTTAATCACTGTTACTGGAGGCATTTTATCAATAGTTTTCTCAAAGGTACTCATTAACAAAATAATAGTGAGAGTTACTACCTCAGACTGGCAAGGACATTCAAACA